AGAATCGGTGGGTTAAACCTACAAGGATGGAGTCTTCAGGCAGAGGCTGGATGGTCATCTGTCAGAAATTCTGTAGTGGACACTCCAGCATTGAACTAAAGCTTTGATTAGCTTGTCTATGCTCCTTTTTAATACTATAAATCTGTGTGGATTCTTTCATTATATGCTTTTCTGAAAGAAACCCTTTCTTCAGGATTCTATGTCAAAGCCTGTTTGGCTCCTGAGAGAATTAAAAATTCACAGCTGGAAGCTGTTGAGAAATAGCCCCTGAAAATGGATTAAAAGATTGATTGGGTCTGTACTGAATGAGACTTAATCAGAGGAAAAAGAAAGAACAATGGATTAAAGCAAAACAAAACAACAAGACTCCTGAGGGACATAATGTCTCTTGAAGTAATACATTAGGAAAAAGATTAGCATGCTTAAACTAGGGCCACAAAACAGTATCTGGAAAGAAAGAAAGAAAGAAAGAAAGGAAGGAAGGAAGGAAGGAAGGAAGGAAGGAAGGAAGGAAGGAAGGAAGGAAGGAAGGAAGGAAGGAAGGAAGGAAGGAAGGAAGGAAGGAAGGAAGGAAGAGCAAACCAGTAGCTGGAATCACAATCAAAAATTTACCTTTTTCTTTGCTGGTATCTAGTGGTGATCTGGATTTTTGCAGCTCAAAACCAATAGCCCTGCTTAAGCAATTACTCATGACTTTTAAACTTTTGCCTCATTGGTCCACATAATGTATTATTACTCAAATGACTGAATGTCTAAACAAACAAACATGTTTCTTAATTGCAAATAATTGGATGTTTCAATCTTATCTCTCATTCATTCAATAATATTCAAATACGAGAATTAGCCTAAAATATCTGGAAGCTTGAGAAGAAATAACATATCTCTCACATTCTCCTTTACAATCTCTAGGACTTGGTTCAAAATTAGAAGAGGTCTGTAGCATTTCAGACTAATAAACGTTATGAAAAGGTAAAAACTTTCATGAGCCAAAGCTCACTTCATCAAATGTATGAAGTAGCTAAATTGTTACAGGATTTCAAATAGGATGAGACAGGGGGAACAGAAGGGAAAATAGGATGGTTATGTAAATACAGGTCCCTGGTGAGTACCTTATCAATTAACAATTGTAATGTGTTAACATTTTCTGAAATAGTCTGAAACCTGTTGGTCTATGTTGGTGCTGAAATTGCATTAGGAATAACAACAACAACAACAACAACAACAACAACAACAACAACAACAACAATAATAATAATAATAATAATAATAATAATTTGAATGTTCAGTTGACTGAGGTTCATGTTTAATGAATAAAAGATAATAATAATAATAATAATAATAATAATAATAATAATAATAATAATAATAATAATAATAATAATAATAATAATAATAATAGAGTTGGAAGGGAACTTGGAGGTCATCTAGTCCAATCCCTTGCTCAGGCAGGAAACCCTATACCATTTCAGACAAATGGCTGTCCAGTCTCTTCTTAAAGACTTCCAGTGTTGGAGCATTCAAAACTTCTGGAGGCAGGTTGTTCCACTGATTAATTGTTCTGACTGTCAGGAAGTTTCTCCTTCATTCTAGGTTGCTTCTCTTCTTTTTTTACCAGAATGAATACTTTGAGATCTGTGATGAAATGAGTGTTGTGGGAGGCTGAAATGCTTGGATATCACATTGCCCTTGTTTTGGGTTCTGAAGTCAAACTTTTGTCCATTAATACTTTTTGTTGAAGTTTGGTTTATTATATTATATAAAAAAGGAGATTGAAGACAAATGATAGCATTTATCATAGTTGAGAGCAAGTATGTGAAAACTTTCTAATCTTGAGTGGAAATAAACAGACATCTGAGAGCATACCAACATGCAAGGTTGTGTTGTTTCTTGTTGCTTCTAAGAATCTGATTCAGGTTAGGTATTTTTAATATGTATCAGGTATGAGCCTGCCACCCATTGCCTGAGAAAGTGCAGTGGCATTGTCCAGTATGTGCTGCAGCTTATTAATAATACCTTTGGATGACTTGATTGTGAGCTGTAGGTAACAACCAGTGATATTTTGCTGATCTATTTTTGTGATTTGTCTTTTAATATGGGATCTATATATTGATCCCATTGGATAGGTAGTACAGTTTACTGAATCTATAGATGATGGATTTGGGGGTGTATTTTAGATGGAAGTCTCAAACATGTTGGTCTGCATAATGATGTGTTGGTTTCCTGAGGAATGTTGATGTCTATACATCTACAGGTAATCCTCGACTTACAACAGTTAGCTGCCAGATTGGGCCCTATACTATCAAGCATCTGCACTAACATGGATAAAAGAATGGGTAACGCTTAGACATAAAAGATTACTATTCCTAGAAGGACATGATCTACAACTCGGATGGCATGCCTTCTTATGGTATGGGAATAATAAAATACATAGATACTTTCAAAACCACGATAAAAGAAACACACTGCTTCTAGAATGGGAAAAAGTAAAAGTGAAAATTTATATGAAAATACCTGGATGGCTTTCAACAATGGAAGCGTTTGTTCACCTAAACTTAATTAACTATAAAGACATTTTGAATACTGAAGGGAAATTAAAAACCAGACAAGAACTAGAGGAACAGGGCATTGATTTATCATGGTGGCCATACCTGCAAATTCAAACGAGATATGAAAAAGATGTTAAAACATCTGGATTTTACAAAGAACAGACAGAATTTGATCAGATATTATTTTTCAATTGATGAAAAATTGATTAAGAAACTGTATAAGTATATGTTAAGTTGAAAGATGGAAGAGGAACAAGTTAAAGAAACAATGATAACATGGGCAAAAAACCTTGGGCATAACATAGAGTTAGAAAACTGGCCAAGCCTTTGGGAAAGAAATTCTAAAATAACAAAGGCAGTGGCTTACAGGGAAAACCTATATAAAATGTTTTACAGATGGCACTTAACACCTGTGAGGTTAGCAAAAATGTTTAAAAATATGTCTAGTAATTGTTGAAAATGTAGACAAAAACCAGGCACATATTATCATCTTTGGTGGACATGCCCTAAAGCCAAAAGATTTTGGTCAAGAATACATATATGGTTAGAGAAAATTTAACAACTGCAGTGGTTCACTTAACAAATATGGCAAGAATAGTCATAAAATGGGACAAAACTCACTTAACAAATTTCTCACTTAGCAACAGAAATTTTGGGCTCAATTGTGGTTGAGGACTACCTGTATTGCATAGTTTTATTGTGACATCAAGGAAGTGGGCTTCTCTGTTATTATATCAAAATTAATGGTGAGGTAGAAATCATTTAGGTCATGCTAGTATTTGATGAGAAATAGTATTCAGTTGCTAAGATAGGATGGATGGATGGATGGATGGATGACATAGATTAGTGTCCTCATTCAGAGATTCACATTATTTTCCCCTTCATTTTTCAGATAACTTTATATTTATTTAACCTCCCCAGAAAGCAATGATTTTACATTGATAAATGATACCAAGTTAAGTTGGGCATTATTTACAAATGTTTATGTATTGCTTTGTTATTCTTTGTGGCCATTAAAAAAATAGTCTCATTGTATCTTTTCCAAGATGGAACAGCAGATTTCATATTTCTTATAAAGTAAATGGGTAACCTTTATATATTTGCTATATTGTTCCTAACTATTTTCTTCTTAAACTCAATTTAATTCTACTGTAGAAAGTAGGCAATTCAAGGGCCTTTTGACTAATATCCTTTGAAATTGTTTGCTTTCCATAGCCTTCTGATTCAAGTTATTTGTCCTTACTCTGAGAAAATAACTTTTAAGTGTATACAATGTTTTTCTTTCTAGACATTTTTAGATGCCTATGTGGTGATAAAGATTTTATAGCTATTTAATGTCATATTCTTGTGGAAAATTAGGTCCAATAAGTCAGAGCATACTTTTATGCACATTCTTTACACCTACAGAATGTGTCTTTGATGGAGTAAGACCAATTAGTGCTCTTTAGAAAGATTCTTGGGATACAAGCATTCCAAATTCTTGGAATTTAAAAGCAGCATGATTGTATCTTTGGATAAAGATTAAACAAGATTCTAATCATTCTGAGATTAGAGTTTTATTAAAATGTTGGAAGTGTATTAGCAAAAAATGGCTTATCAGTGATGAGCTTATAACAACTATTGATTGTTACCATAATTTCAGGGTTACATTATTGGATGTGGGGCCTAACCTCTTTCCTCTTACTTTGGGTTGACTTGTTCAAAGAACTATTTGTTGATTGTTGCAGAGTTTATACATTGTAAATTTACAATGAATACAATGTGGCTCTTGTTTATCTGTTTATCTTTGAATTTCTTCATAGTGCTTGCAAATCATTTCTGAGGATGTTTACTTTTCTACAGAGCTTTTCTAAATGAGAGGACTGTTTTTTGAGGATAATAAATCCTTGAAAGAGGATTCATAGAATCAGTTCACCATTGGGGTCCTAGAAAAATGTTAAAATGTTGTTACTCTCCTTCTATCTGGTGTACCATTCCCATGCTTGAACCTGCAAAGACTGTTTACCTGTTTGCTATCTATATATGTGAAAAGAATGTGATTGGTTTCACAATCAAATCAGCTCATTATCAACCCTGTTTTTATTTGCCAAGATTAACTAATGTGCACATAGATAACATTACTTGTGCATAATCCTTGCTTCCAGATGTGCTGGACTACATTTCCTTAATTCCCAGCAAGTACTAAAACTATAACACTCTAACCTGTTAAAAAGAGAATTAGAGAGATAAGGAAGAAAAGGGAGGTATAGTTGTATGTAATGCACATAACTTTAGAAAGAGGTCTGAACTAAATAGTGAGAAGAACAAATTACAACTGACTTTTTAAATCATTTGTAATGGTCAGAGAAAGGGAAAAATTAGAAACTGAACCAACTTTAATAAAACAAAAATTAAACTGGCTGATGTGGTTGGTTTAATGATGTATTTGCCACTAACTACTTTGTTTCCTTTTAGCAGATAAAGATGGCACAGATCCAGAAGATATGAGTGATGACAGCAGCATCAAAACAAAGAGAAACAAGTAAGTCTTAACAGTATTTAAAAGAAAGAGAGAGAGAGAAGGAGAAAGCCAATCATGACAAAATAAATTCCTCCTCCTCCTCCTCCTCCTCCTCTTCCACCACCACCACCACCATCTTAGGCACAAAGATACAAGTCATGATCAGACCTACACTGCATCCAGTTTTGGTCACTATATTATAAAAAAGATGTAGAGACTTTGGAAAAAGTGCAGAAAAGAGCAACAAAAATGGTTAAAGAGCTGAAGGCTAAAACATATGAACAATGGTTGCAGGAATTGGGTATGTCTAGTCTAGAGAAAAGAAGGACTAGGGGGCGACATGATAGCAGTGTTCCAATATTTGAGGGCTGCCATAAAGAAAAAGGTGTCAACCTATTTGCCAAAGCACCAGAAGGCAAGACAAGAAACAATGGATGGAAATTAATCAAGGAGGAAACAACTGAGAACTAAGGAGAAATTTCCTAATAGTGAGAATGGCTTGCCATCAGAAATTGTGGGTGCTCCATCACTGGAGGCTTTTAAGAAAAGTCTGGACAGCCACTTGTCTGGAATATATAGGATCTCCTATTTGAGCAGTGGGTTGGACTCCAAGGTCGCTTCCAACTCTGTTATTCTGTTATCTACAAAGATGCTCCAGAGCTGTAGTACATCATTCTAAAAATGAAATACAGTATCCTTCTGAAATTTTGAACTATATTGAGTCCTAAAATTTTCCTAATGTCAGATTCAGAGAATATAAGGATTGGGAGGTCCCTTCAAGATAATCTAGTCCAAATTCCTACTCAGTGGAGTAACTTCCATAAAACACCATCTCTGACAAATAATCATCTAGGCTCTTTTTAAACATCCCCAGAAAAGAAAAATACTACCTTCTAAGATACTTTGTGCCATTGATGAATAAATGTTATTGTTGGGATTTTTATTTTGATATCCAATCCAAAATAATTTCCTTATAATTTAAAGCTTCTTGCTGTGTCTTTTGGATGCATTGTATAACTGAGGGAAAATGCAAATATATACATTGTTCACTGATTCAACCCATTACATTTAGATGATTGATAGAGAGATATAGATAGACATAGATAGATGGACAGACAGACAGATAGATGATAGATTATTTCAGTTAAGCACCCCCACCCCCCCGCTGGTCTACATAGCTGGAAAGGTTGGGAAACTCTGATATATATTATTCACTAGGAAGCTAGAAAAATGAGATGAGTTCTGATAATAATCACAGTTAAGAGCATAGCACCTTAGTCAAATTCATAAGATAATTATTAATGATTATGGGTGGTAGATTTGTTTTATCCATGAGATGTCCACTATTCAGGCCAAACTAGTTTTGCACCTTCCTGTATTCTGGAAAGATTGAATAAAACCCTTAGAGCAATTTTATATGAAGATAGTTTCTATGAAAGTCATGGGAAAGAAAAAAATAAAATAAGCCTGTTTGTAGTCATTATTAAGTTTCATATTGATATTTTTTTCATGTTTAGAAAATGATACTGTAGATGACATTTAAAATGATACAATATTAAGAAAATATAGTTGAACTCCATTTATGTTTTCTTAAAACGCCAGAATTTTAATACACTGGTTTAACACTCTTTAATTTGCATAATGGTATAATTCATTTTTAGGTGCCAGTATAAATGCACAACTATTAGATTTGTTAAATCATTTTAATTAACTATATTGGAAGAAAGAGATTCTCTCTGGCTATCTTTGCTGATGATTTAACTTTCTGGTTCCCATCAATTTCACTGAATATAAATACTTGGTAGTTACCAAAAATTAGATTGGAGGTTTCATAGATCATATTATGGAATATTATAACTTGAAAGAATTAAAATAGCTAATACAATATCCAAGTCACTATTCTAATATGAAAAGTGACAATTTGATAGCTTTAGTGCTACTAATATCATGCAATATTCATTTTAGTATAATTTAAGAGTGAAATTTTTAATGCAATTATGGATGGCAAGTAGATAATAAGTTAGGACCCATATTGCTTAACTGGGGGATGTAATTTATTGCATGAAAGACGATTTTAACTTTTCTATTATAATTGACCTCTCTGTCTTTCACCAGTTTCTAATCTTTAGTTCCCCTGGTGTCCAAGTTGTATTGCTATTGAAATTCAGTCTCCTTTTATTAACTTTTTAAAACTAGTTACCTAAAATCTATGATACATTTAAAACAGGAATTTGATTTGAAAATATGAAAGAATAATTTGCAGCGCATGTCACTTATTGATTTGTTCTGCAACCTCAGAATCTGGAAACAGGTAGTTGAATATATAAATTTCCTCAAATATACTTCATTAGAAGAACTGGATATCCAAGCACCTTCCTTTTAAAAAAAAAATAAAAAAATCAACATTCCAGAAATTAGCCCTTCAAATTAAAAGGTATAAAATATATTACATTTTTTTAGACTGCTATGGTTATTCAAATAAAAACCTGTTGCAGACCAAATATAATGGCTAGATGGGAAGGCAGAGCTTTATTTAGCCTGTTCTCTATTTGCTGTTATGTTAATTATTTCTTCTTAAAGAAGAAACAAGTAGAAATTTAGTTTGGGATTTGGAGAGGGACTGATGAATGTTCTTCTTTTAAATTTCTTGTCCAGAAGAATGTAAGTTAGGTAGTTAGATCGTTTTTGTAAAAAAAAACTCCTGGCGATTGTCTGGATGAATCCCTGCAGTTTTCTTGGCAAGGTTTTTCAGAAGTGATTTGCCATTGCTTCCTTCTTAGGGCTGAGGGAGAGTGGCCCAAGGTCACTCAGCTGACTTTGTATCTAAGGCAGGACTAGAATGCATGGTCTCCTGGTTTCTAGCCTGATGTCTTGACCACAGCACCAAACTGGCTCTCAGTTAAATAACTACTACAGACCAAATCTTCTCTGTATCCCTTCTTTTTTTTTCTTGACTAAGCAGATAGTAATAGAAGCGGAAGATGAAAATATGTTCTGACTTTATTGATTTCCAAGTTCTACCACCTTAAAGTAGGAAATGTCTTGTGAAGATTTCTTTTTCTTGCCAAATGCTCCCAAAGATATTTTGTGAATAACTTCAGATTCTGATGAGTCTTGCCAATACAAATAGACTCAGCAATATATCAAACACTTAGTAGGCTGTTTCACTTTTAGTGATGGTTTTCAGTTATCTTCTTGTCATCTTTTTTCCTACCCATCATCATTTCCTTCTCTGCCATGTCTTGTTAAGTAAAAAGTAAAATAAAACAAAAAAACAGAACAAAAAAAGAAACAAAACCCCCGACGGAAATTCTTCATGGAATTTGCTGAACTTGTCAACATGTCCATGTTATCAAGCCCTGTGTTCATCTTTAAGGATTCTTTATGCATTTCACTGAGCAGACAAAGTAATCTATTTTAGATCTTTGCCTAAGTCAACAAATATTGGAAAGCAGGTTTTGGAAAATGATGCAGATGCTTGGAACGAGAATATTGGCAGTAGCCCTTTTCCTGCACACATTATTAGACTATATGTAAAGCCAATTTTTAAATAGGCTAAAAGTTTGTTCTGGTACCAGAGCCATTTCACTAATAACATGATAACACATTGTCTTAGATTTAAATTTAACAGAGCCCTTCCAAATTCACTACAGAGAAAAATATGTTGCTTATATTTTCCTAGATGCTCCTGCACTCTAAAGTTTACCAAGAGTTTAAAAACGCATACTTCACTTTGTGTGTCTCTTCTATTATTTAAGACTGGAAAATTCACAGAATATGGAGCTAGAAAAAATAACAATGGACGAAAAAAACATGAAAACATCAGAACATCAGATTACCCTCCCCTTGGAGGAACGTATTACCCATTTTCGAGATATGCTTCTGGAAAGAGGGGTAAGGTTTTCCTGATTCCTGTAATATTGGACAACATGATATAATCTTAATATATGTAATAGATACATTGCAATGATCTAATGATTTAAAGAGGTTGTTTATTTTATTTTCTTATCTACTGTTTGCTATTACATTATTGCTATTTACTATACACAATAACAATAAGGAAACAATAAGAATATGATTTATGCTTATCTTCCTTGATCCTATCCATATATTTCATTAGTTTAATGAAAAGAAGGAGTAGGGAGAACATGATATCACTGTTCCAATATTTGAGGGGCTCCTACAAAGACAAGGGGGTCAAACTATTTTCCAAAGCACCAAAAGGCAAGACAGGAAACAGTGGTTGGAAACTAACCAAGAAGAGAAGCAACCTTAAAACTAAGGAGAAATTTCCTAATAGTGAGAGCAATTAACCAATGGAAAACTTGCCTTCAGGAGTTGTGGATGCTCTGAAGGCTTTCAAAAAGAGACTGGACAACCATTTATCTGAAATGATATAGGGTCTCTGCTCAAACAGGGGGTTGGACTAGAAGACCTCTGACGTCCCTTCTCGCTTATGCTGTCTGAACTATTGCTCTTTCCATTAACAGTTCAGTAACATAATTTTTCCCAACCAGATACTTGTATTATAGCTCCATAATTTGCACTCAGTATAGGTAATAAGGGAGGAAATACGGAATCATAGTTAAATTCATCTAGAAGATAGCAGACTGGGGAATTTTAAATCTCATCTAATAAGAAGTTATTTCAGTGTACTGAGTTACATGCAAATTCCAATTTCTAATCTCTGCCTAGTCTTAAATAATTATATCATGTACATCTCTAAACTATGTGATGTACATTTAATTATATGATATTCTTTAAATATCATCATTAAGATATCATAAAACTATACAGGTTAAATTGTAAAAGAATCCATTCTGACATATTAAAACTATTGGCTCATTATGTAAACATTTATTTAGCAGCTATGATACAGTGGAACTCATCGAGTTTAATGTTTTTGTTCTATTTCATCCTATGGACCACTGTAGGATGTACTTGAAATTTCAGGTCTAGAAGGGAAATCACACTGATCTTTATAATGCAATCAACAGTCTCCATTTTGGAAGGATGCTGATTGGAAGGGAAACAATGTTGTAATCTTCTCTGTCCAAATATCTACATTATTCCAACCCATGAGATTACATTGCAGAGAAAGAGCTGTTGCTGTGTAATGGATGCATCGATAACTTAAAAAAATAATTTTAGCATCTAGAAAACAAATGTGTTTTGAAATTAATTGGGTATTCAGGTTACTCTTCAGAGGTTATTTTGCACTTATTTTTAGTTAGCTTCACTTGCAAGTTGCTTTGAAGACCAGTCTTACAGATTTATTCCATATCTTCTAAAAGTAAACTACAAATCATTAAAATTGGTGGTGTTATTTGGGTTCTCAGCACATATGTCATAATCTTTATAATTTAATTTTTGTTCAGAAATAATGGCCACATTTTCCATTAGAAATTAAGACTTGTGAATAAGTAAGATTAAGAGGACATAAGGCAGGAGTAGCTGTGCTAGACAGTTGCAATAAATACAAGCCTAAGCATCTGACATGCTAAAAATAATACTTTTAATTGTGGTATACATGTTTATAGATTAGAATTTCATATATACAATTTGTAAACAGAAATTGTTTTGTGGCATAATCACCAGATGCTGATAAATAGTTACAGGTGGAAATTGGGTATTATTTAATAATAAAGTTTGTAAATTGTACTGTATGTCCACCTGCTATATACACAATTATACAGGTAATCCTTGTTTAGCAACTGCCTCAGAAACAACTGTTCATAGTCATAAAGCTCACGCCTACTGCTTCAGTGACTCCATCCAGCCACCTCATTCTCTGTTGTCGCCTTTGCCTTTTAAATGCAGATGGACTGCTGAATGTTGCCCTGATGGGTTTATTTTCCTATGTTGTGCCATGCATTTATGAAGTGGATGTTTTATAGATAGACAGATGATAGATAGAGAATATAGAAGAATAGGTTAAAGATCACATGGACGTCTGTCTGTCTGTCTGTCTGTCTGTCTGTCTGTCTGTCTGTCTGTCTGTCTGTCTGTCTGTCTGTCTGTCTGTCTATCTATCCAGTGCTTTTTTTCTAAAAAAAAAAAAAAAAAAAGGTGCCGGCATTCACACACGTCATACAACCCGCCTTGCCTACCCTACAAGGTTCCATCCAAAAAAGGTGCCGGAACTCCGTTCTGGGCGTTCTATGAGAACAAAAGCCCTCTATCTATCTATCTATCTATCTATCTATCTATCTATCTATCTATCTATCTATCTATCTATCTATCTATCTATCTATCTATCTATCTATCTATCTATCTGTCTATCTACAAAATAACCACTTGACAGCTCCTCCTAGCAGTTCTTTAGTGATGCAAGTGCTTGGGTTTAGTTTGGAAAGATTTCCATCTTCAGTGAGGAACAATAAAGGAAACTGCTTTGAAGTAGCTCAGAATGTCAGGTCAGGAGTAGGAAAATCTTTCAGAGTATCCCAAGCCTAATGGATATGACTAATAGAGTCAGCTATGAAAGTGCAGCTAACTTCCTTACTCAAGTTGTAGCCTGGAGATTCTGGAGAATTCTACTGTGCAATTTTTTGTTGATATTTTGGTTTGTTCTAATAAAGGAATTATCCTCTCATGAATTTAAAACTGAACTATACAAAAACTTGGTTATTTTTTTAGCACTTCCAATAAAGGAGGATGGGAAATATATGTGGAGGCCAACTGAGATACAGTGGCTTTTATAGTGAATTATTCCAGTGTCTTTTCAGTTTGAAGCCTCTTGAATTGCTTAAATATTTAGAAAACCTCTGAATAAAACCTGAACATGCATAGAAAAAGTAAAAACTGAATAAGTATTCACCTGAATACATGCTGGGTTATGGAATGGGCATAATCATTCTATTATTAGATTCCCAATCACTATATATGACAGTGTGCTTTCAGATCTGTTTAAACAAAATGTTCACTTTTTATTTAATTTCTAATCCAAGTTTAGGAAATAAATAATTTCTTTTTTTTTGCTTGTCTTACAATAATAAGTTAGATCATCATTCAAAACACTCTACATTGTAATATTTCTTTAATAAGATATTGGTACCTACTTCTGATTTTATTCTTTAAACTTTGTTTATATCTCTTCCGTTAACTTTTTTTTTAGGTCTCTGCATTTTCCACATGGGAAAAAGAACTTCATAAAATTGTATTTGATCCACGTTATCTTCTACTAAACTCAGAAGAACGTAAACAGGTGAGTTCTTGTTTAAAAAGTTCTTGTTTAAAAAATACAGGCTATAATGTAAAATGGATCGTAAAATTTAATTAATAATAAACAGTACATAATTTCAAGATCAAATTATATTGTCAGTTTTAAAACATCAATAAACATGTACAATATATCACAAGTGAGTTATTATTAAATCACATATTTTAATAGCCAGGGAGATTTAAGTCAGCTTTCATTTGGTGCAATGAAGAAAGCCTCAGATTATCCTCTATTGAGAGATTATTTTATGATTAGATGTTAACACCAAGTGATAACTCTCTCTTTGGTACACAGCATTTTTATAAAATGTGTGTTACATTTTAATTTGGACTGCATAAGGCAGTAACCATGACATGTGTGTGTATAAAATTGGGGGTTTAAAAGATGAAATTTTAAACATTTGACTTTAATTAACAATAGCTAACACAAAATTTCCTGTACATTTAATAACTGGCTATCTGTTGCATTAAGAGAGTTAGTTCACTGACTACATTGGAATGTCCCTGAGGATTATCCTCAAAGCTTTCTGTCTTACATAGATTACATGTTGTATCTAGCATCTGATATTGTACACTTCAGCAAAAACCATTTATGCTGAATCATTCTTTCTTTCATTGCATAGAAGAAGGACTTTTATTCCCAGATGTGGTTGAATTACAATTCCCAGCAGTACTGTGTTGAAGGATGCTAGAAATTTTCAGCAACATCTGAAGAATCATAGATTCTCAATCTTTTTTTAATGCTCTAGACTAGAGCATACCAGGTTGAAAAATAAAATGCTAGATGTAAAGAAGGCTTTTCTATCAAAACTGTTGATACTATTGTTCAGATGAAGGTGACCATCTTCAGGTTTTGGCTGTCACGGATGGGTAGCAAACTATTAATTTTCTAATTTGTTTTTATGGCTATTAATTATAGTTTATTTTTTATTGAATTTGTTATAATGGGAAGGGATGTTTCTGTGATTTCCTTTCATGTGTGCCAAAATATATTGCAAATTGATGCTTGCTGCTTTTTTTTCTTTTTTTGCCATAGTCCACTTATAAGCAGAAGAATACCTCTGGGTCTGACCCTTATTGATGCCTATAAAATAATTTTAAAATAACCATTTTTAATTCTTTCTTTCTTCTATTTATTAAAAGCTGACATTAAATTTAAATATTTTGGTGAGACATCTCTAAATATATATTTTATCAAAGGATAGCTGCATTTTTACTCTAAAATTATTGTGAGGATTTAGAGTTTGATGCTAACAGTAGATTTGAATATTTCATATAGCACAGGGAACTCTGTATTTCTTTTGGTGACAAAAGTAAAGGCCCAGCCTAGTTATTCCAACAATTTTTATTATCCTTTCATTTATTAAGCATATGCATATGTAGTATAATCCTTTAATGACCAGTAATATTTTGCATTATAGCCATTAACTTGAAACATTGGTGGCATGAACCTAATTTAAGATAAGATAACCTTTATTATCACTTTTTCTGTGTGTACATTGGCACACATTAAAAATAAAATTCTGATGCTCACTCTCAAAAGAAAATATGTATGTGTGTGTGTGTATATATGTATACATGTATATATGCACAACACACATACCCACAAATATAAATGTGCAGTGTATGTGTGTGTGTGTGTGTGTGTGTGTGTGTGTGTGTGTTTTCGTAGATTTTCACAGGTACAGGTATGCAGGTCTTGGCGTATTCGGGTCTTTTCCCGTGTAAGATTGAGAGTATCTTGGTGACATTTCAACGAGGTCCCACTCTTCATCTTCAGGCTGGGGTCTTCAGCTTCGTGCCTGTGCGAGCAAAGTGTGATCGGAGCTGCCGTCTCTCTATAAATACTGGTGGGGGTGGGTGGAGTGTTGGCTTAGTTGCTGTAGGTGGATTGGGTCCAGTGTCAGTTTTCATGGCTAGGACCCACTTGTTGATTAGGGCTACTTTCCAGATATCTGGTAGGTGGGAGGTATCGTCACGTTTATTCATTTCGAAATAGAAAAACATTTCGAAATAGAAAAACACCCCCACAACATGAATAAACATGATGATACCTCCCGCCTACCAGATATCTGGAAACTAGCCCTAATCAACAAACGGGTCCTAGCCACGAAAACTGACACCAGACCCAGAACAACACAGTACGCCACCACCATTCACCCTCACCAGACCGAAACCCAAGCACAAATCCATCCCTCAGACAAAATGCAACCACCATCCAGAAGCCAAACCACGACGACATCACCAGCTGCTGCACCTCCCTCCGACCCCCACAGAAAGCAAACGGACACACGCCATGAACACAGAGCTAGACCGCAAACTCGGAGCCAAACCAAAGCCCAGTATGCTACATCACAGCCTTCTGCTCTGGACATCACATCACAGAACTCAGGAGGTTACAATACTAAAGCTCAGGATGTTACAACACAGCCAACCACCCAGGATGTTGCAACACAAAACTCAGGATATCACTACACTAGATCTCAGGACGTAATCACACAACCCATTACCCAGGTCATTATAACACAAAAGACTAATGATCACACAGCTAGCACCTCAACTACCCAGGATGTTACGAAACAGCCAACCAATCCACAAACAATGGCTCCCACACAGCCAACCAATCCACCTACAGCAACTAAGCCAGCACTCCACCCACCCCCACCAGTATTTATAGAGAGATGGCAGCTCCGATCACACTTTGCTCGCACAGGCACAAAGCCGAAGACTCCAGCCTGAAGATGACGAGTGGGACCTCATCGAAACGTCGCCAAGATACTCTCAATCTTACACGGGAAAAGACCCGAATACGCCAAGACCTGCATATATATATATATATTGGATTGCTAACAAAGAATTAAGGGAGAATGGAATAGCTATTTCAAACTTTTTAGCTCTCATCAGCCAAACATACCCTTCTGAGATTCGAACCTGGGCTGCCTGCATGTTAAGCAGCTGTGTTAACCTCTAGGCCACAGGCTCTTTCTCGCTTTGTCAGCTGTGTCAGGGAGGGAAGAGACAGGGGAGGAGAATTACCTTGAGTGCTTTTTGATGCACTCTGTCGACCCAAATATGAGAGAAAGAAATCTCTCTCTCTATATATATATAGACAAAATTAAAAGAAAAGCGAACACCATCAAGGCGATAGAATTACAAATGAGGCAGCGGCGATCCCCAGAGAAGACGACGACCCGGAAAAAGGGGAGGGAGATCAGGAATGGAAACAATGGGATAGCCCTTTGCAGGATTGGGGTAATAGGGCTACAGGTGAGGCGGCGATGATTTCCATGGGAGGAGGTGATAGAGCAACGGCGCGTCACGGCCGTGAGATAGACGCACAGAAGCGACCTGGAACGAGAGGGGGGGAAGGCAGGGAGCAGGAATGCCCGAATAGCTGCTCTTTGCAGGACTGGGGCGAGGGAGTTATGGGCGAGACAACAGCGACCTTGGGGGTGGGGGAGGATGATGGCCTGACAGAGCGCCCGAATCGCAGCTTGAGAAATAACAACCGAGATTGCTCCAAATGGGAGGGGAGGGAGACAAGGGGCAGAGACGGCTGGACAGCCACACACACCCCGGGCACCTGCACGCGTGCCAGAAGAGCGATTAAAGATCAGAAGACAACCATTGGGACCACGGGCAGATTGCCAGGTGTAGAGCAACTCAGTGCATTACGGACGAGCACAATCAATGGGCCTATGACGCGCTCGAGAAGCCGGGTGCAGAGGCAAGCGGCTATATAAGCCAGCTCCCAGATCTCCTTTTACTCCAACTCTGACGACGTCGGCAGTTTGGCCGATGAAAACTTAGTGACTTTTTATCTACAGGCTTGTTTACATTAAACAGTCTTGTTTACTTTTATCCTGGTGTTCGCTTTTCTTTTAATTTTGTCAATATGATGCCCAGGATTCGCATTTGTACTGTTATATCCTTTATAACACTAAAAATGCACATTTATATTTGTGTGTATGTGAGTTGTACATATATACATGTATACATACATATACACACACATACATATTTTCTTTTGAGAGTGGGCATCAGAATTTTATTTTATACATGTGCTCTATACACACATACACACACATGCATATACTGTATATATTAATCACTGTCCATTTAGAATGCATAGCAGAAAAAAGTGTCTTGAGAATTAACGAAGCTGATATTATATAGTACAAAGCTATTACAGGTCTAGTTGTTCAGCTTCAGATACTGCGAAGCCTCCTCCCAGAAGGTAACAAAGAAAACTGGTCATGGAGAGGATATGTAGCATCCCTGACAATACTGTGGACCATGGTCAAGCAATGTTTATATGCCATATCCTGGATAGAAGGAAGTGAACTTTTTCTGCCGTCCTCACCACTCTCTGCATAGCCTTCCTGTCTGAAACAGTAATACCTCCAAACCAGACAGTAATACAATATGACAGGATGCTTTCAATTGATAAGGACAGGGGAAGAAAGATGTGCTTTTTTCTTCTACATATTTTGACTACTTGACCAGTATGAAAAGCCTTTATTCTTTGATTAAAAGACCAAAGTTTTATTTGATATTTTTGGATTAGTAAGAAAAAAAAAAGGAAATATTTGAATGAAGGCATTACATGAGGTCTTATACATCTTAATTTGCTATTTTGAAAGATTAATGCATAAAGATAGTTTATTTGCTTCACTTTTAGTGAACCTTTTGTTTAACTGACAAAGCATAAGAAGCTGTGGTCGAAAGTCAAAAGAAATATGCATGCCTAAATGATAGTGAGGCTAAAAGCTAAACCTTTGTGCAGATTTCCAGAACTAAGGACAAATAAATTCTCTTTGAATATAGGTAGTAAACAATCTTATAGGAAACATTAAAAACCAAATGTGCATTTTGTGCAGAATAGGATAATAGAATGAAAGTTTCATGTTCATCTGTAACATTTTGATTAATGTGCATGGAGTCATGGTTGAGTTGAAGATTTCCCTGAAAAATTATTGCTATCAG